TTTATTTATTTTTGTTCTGCAAAAGAATGAAAGTCATTCAGGTTTTGCATGGTGAGGATCAGGAAATATTGACAGAAATTTCATTTTTGGGTGAACTTTCCCTTTAAATGCACAATCTACTCTGGTTCAAGATGCATTTTCTCTCTGTTATCGTAGGCTAAGTCTAGTAAGTGAGGAATAGGGGTCACCTGCTAAGTGATATTAAGGACATCTACATGAGGAAAATTTGTCTATGGAGAATAACATTTCCTGTTTGGAGAAAGGAGACTATAGGCATTGACCCTCCCTGTGAAATTGTCAGAGATGATAGCGGTGCATGGCGAAACCATTTAAGGTTAAATCTAGCATACAAAATCCACTTTCATTTGTAATGCTGCTGCTTTCCTGCACCAGCGCAAAAGCAAGTCATTTTGAATTAATCTTTTCTGCTTCCCCTCTTTCCTGCATTCTCAATCTCACACACACATACACACACACACACACACATGATTTTTTTTTACAGTGTACTGTAGGCGCTACATTGCAAAATCTGAGCAATTATCTGGTCTAAAGTCTAAAACGGGTTGCTGTCCCCTAAAATGAAAATTATATAATTATTTTCTCACATTTATGCCTTTCCATACCTTTATGACTTTCATTCCTCTATGGAAAGCAAAATAAGAGTTTTCAAATCAATGCAATGTTTTTTGCACATGCAATTAAGGACAGCATGGTCCAAAACAGCATTAGACCCCACTGACTTTCAATGTATGAAGAAAAAAGAATGAACAAACAAAAAAACATTAAAAAAATAAATAAATAAAAAACAATAAAAAACAAAAATTATATATTTTTTTTTTTATTATTAGTTATTTATTTATTTATTTTTGTTCTGCAAAAGAATGAAAGTCATTCAGGTTTTGCATGGTGAGGATCAGGAAATATTGACAGAAATTTCATTTTTGGGTGAACTTTCCCTTTAAATGCACAATCTACTCTGGTTCAAGATGCATTTTCTCTCTGTTATCGTAGGCTAAGTCTAGTAAGTGAGGAATAGGGGTCACCTGCTAAGTGATATTAAGGACATCTACATGAGGAAAATTTGTCTATGGAGAATAACATTTCCTGTTTGGAGAAAGGAGACTATAGGCATTGACCCTCCCTGTGAAATTGTCAGAGATGATAGCGGTGCATGGCGAAACCATTTAAGGTTAAATCTAGCATACAAAATCCACTTTCATTTGTAATGCTGCTGCTTTCCTGCACCAGCGCAAAAGCAAGTCATTTTGAATTAATCTTTTCTGCTTCCCCTCTTTCCTGCATTCTCAATCTCACACACACATACACACACACACACACACACACACATGCACACTATCTCTCGCTCTCTTCTCCTCCATCTGTTTTCGTTTGTGTGTGAGAGAAAGAATATGAATCAGAGAAACACAACTCTCAATAACCCAGAAAGTAATCTGGCCATAATCATTTATGGATTCCTCACTCTCTGGTGCATCATGGGAAGTCTCTGTCTGCAGCACATCCTGCCAAGGTTCAGTCACTTCATTATATTAAATATATTTTAATCTCAGATATATTATATTATTAATGCTGAGTATGATCAACTTTTTTTTAACTTCTTAAACTTTTACACATTAATTTTATTTTTTTATGGACTAAAAATTAATTTATCATGCATTAATTCAAGAACATAGTAGAAAGGCAGAGAGCGAAAGTGATATTGTATTTGGAAGAGCTTTGACACTAGGCATAGACAAATCAGGCAGTATTTTTATTATTTTTTTATCATTGATTATTCACTGTAATTAATAATGATTCTTATGAACATTTTCTTCTGTTCTTTTATCCCTAATTTCTCACAATTTTCATTGAAGAAAATAAGTTCTTTCATTAGAGACAAAATATTATAATTTTTTTTAATAATATTTCTTTTAAAATATTATATTATTATATTAACTCAGGAACTAGAAACACATTTTATAATATTATATTATAATAAAATTAGGGTTGCAAAGAGGCAGAACATTTCCAAAATTCCAAAAGTCTTCCACCCCTTTGCAACACTAAATATAATATTTATGAAAAAACATTACTTAATATAAACATTATTAGTTATTATATGTATAATTATTATCTTATCTTATCTTATTAATGGTACTTAAAATAATTAAGAAATTATGCATCAGATTATTAATTTAATAAATAATTATAAAATCAACACCTGGAATTGCTGTAAGGTTAAATATCTGTCCTAGCTGAATGAAGAGTGGGTTTTCAGGCTCCGGTTGGCATGAATCAAGATGGTGGGTTTCCACTGGTGAACATCCAAAGTTTATAAAAGCATCTTTTCTGATCTTGAACTCTTATTACATGATCTGAGATGGGTCAGAGAAACAAACCACTGATCTTTTATGTCATGGGGAGACTCACAGTTTTGCTTCTGAGATTTTAACATTTGAAATTCAGTTTTATTTTAATTATTCGTACTTACTTTCAATTTTGAATTGGATTTTAACAAGCATTTTTTTCAATTTCAGGCACTTTTTCAATCAGGCATTTTCATTTCTGAATGGAGCACAACCCTGGTTGTCAATCCCAAAACTTACACAAAAGGCAAAAGATAACACATCAGTATGCTGTTAATTCCTTTCAAATTGCCTTTCAGAAAAGCTTAAGTGCATGATGCAAATGTGCTTAAAATGCATGTTAACCATATACCATGTCTGCTGCTTCTGAGAAACAGGAGTCAACTTATGTATGCATATGTTTGTGCCGGGCTTTGTTTAGCCCACAGCCTCTCATGTATCTTGCATTTCAGGAGGTTTTAATATGAAGCATTTCATGTCATTAGTGTCTATGAACCCGGGCTCATATGCAGTCAGGTACTCCAGAGCCTGTCTTCATGCTGTTGAAAATTAACTTTAGACTGTGAGCTGTTTAAAAAAGTGCAATCGGCCAACATGCCTTGAATGGAAAGCAATTTGGTTGAGGGTAATTGAAGGGAAGTGATAAGCTCGGCTGTCTCAGGATTCATTGCTTATTTCATTAGGGAGTTTTTTTTTGTTTTGTTTTTTTGGGAAGGCTCTTCCAGTGTGAAATTGCTAAAGTGTTTATCACGAGTGCCTTTGTAGATTATTTGCTTCTCTTTAACCAAGCACCTTGTGAATTTTCCTTTACGTTCCTACCTTCTTTTATAGGATGAATGAAATATTCATGTTTCTGGAGAACACAGACTTTCATTCTCTTTTCAAAAATCAAATGCAGGCACTCAAGTAATCTTTTATGTTCAAATTAATTCAAATGATGATATTTGTGCCAGCAATTAAATAAAGCAGAGATGTTCCTGAAAGATCTAGTTTTGATTACATCATGTACTGTAGTCAGTTTAAAAGTACTGTACAATTCCATGTAACTAAACCACAGGAATTGAATCACACCATGCTGGTTTTGTCTGGCCAGAGGAGAACTGGCCCCCCGACTGAGCCTGGTTTCTCCCAAGGTTTTTTTCTCCATTTCTGTCACCAATGGAGTTTTGGTTCCTTGCCATTGTCGCCTTTGGCTTGCTTAGTTGGGGACTAGGGTTGCAAAAAGGTGGAACATTTCCAGTAAATTTAGGAAATATTCCGATAAATCCGGAAGGATTTTTTTGGAATATTCCATGGATTTTTGGAAATTTTCCGGAAATTTTCCAGCCCTTTGCAACCCTATTGGGGACACAGTGTCTGGCAACGTTGTTGACTTGAATGCACAGACACTATTAGAAGAGAACTGAACTGAGCTGGACGATGATCACTGAATCAACAATGAACTGACTTTAACTGACAAACTGACTGTTTTCTATTGTCTCTTGCATTATCAGCACACATTTTCCTTTTTAACACTGTAAAGCTGCTTTGACACAATCTGCATTGTATAAAGTGCTATATAAATAAAGGTGATTTGACTTGACTTGAGTAACTGATGTTTTTACAAGTGATCAAAATTTAAAGTAAAATTGTCCTGTGTCTTGGCCCTCATTTCCATGTTGTAACCACAGGGCACTGAATAACTAACCAAGACACTGATTTATATATCAGTATCAAGGACTTAATAAGAAGTAAGTTCATCCTTTGCCTTAAGGACAGCTTCAGTCTTCTTTGCAAGTGTCATACAAGTACTGAACTGTGTGCTGAGATATTGAGTCATTAATCAATAAGAAAAGTTAGTTCTTTGAGAGATTAAATCTTTCTTGCACTTTACGCTCCAGAACGTCCTGTAAAAGCTCACTGATATTTAGATCTAGCGATGAACCCTTTTCACAGATGGCGATGATGGCATTTCCACAGTTATTAATGGTTTGAAATACAGCATTGCAATGGAAAACATGAAAATTAGGAAACTGCAGAGTTCCATGATTACCCAAACGTAATGGAGTATTCCAGAGTAAAAAGCTGTTTACACCAGGGAGGATAAATATAGCTATAAAGTTTTAATAATCATTCTAATTGCTTGAAAATATGGAAATCCACACCACAACTGTAACAATAGCACCACAGAGGAATGATATTGTTGGAATCACCAATTTCCTACACTTTGCTACTGTAGTTTCATGTCTCATGTTTGACTATGTGGTTTCTTTCTTCTCCTTACATATTAAAATGTAAAACTTATTGATGTATTTATTTGTTAGTTCATTGGTTAGTTAGTACATTACCCCTAAAACCCAGAACAACTTTGTGTTTTCTTACAAAACAGTTGCATTCTCCCAAGAAACTTTTAATGGAAATTCTATGAGGTGAGAGGAAAAACTATATTTCAATTAGTTTGTGAGAAAATGCAAAGTTTCTTTGGGGAATGCATAGTTTTGTGAAAAAAATGCAAAATTTCTCAAAATTTCTTTTGCCAGAAAATGTGAATGTTTTGCGAGAGAATTAACAGTTTTTGGGGGTGAATGCAATACTTTTGTGAGAGAACGCAAAAACATTAAAATATAATTTTTCCTCCCATCTCTTTTTTTTATCACCATGTCCCCATTGGTAAGTAATCGTGTAATTTACAGTCCAAGGGTGATTATTGCAAACTAAACTCCTTAAAGATGATACAAGATAATACCGTCAGTATTTTTTGCAATTAACTGTCAAATACCATTAATTGTCATTAATTGCCTTTGCAGCCACATTAAGCATATGTTTAAACTCCAGCTTCAAAAGTAAAGCAATTTTTTTTCTGCAAAATATTTCCTTTTTTTTTTTTAGCATTTTTTGTGTATTTCCCCTGAATGAAATAATACAAATTAAAGTGACAGGGGAATCCAGGCTCAAATGCACATCTCGTTGATTGCTCTTCATTTAAATTTTAATCATATTGTTAGAGCACAGTACAAAAAAAAAAAAAGATAAATTATACAAATCCAGCCCAGACATCAATGATTGCATTGTGTATTCATAATGTTTACATGGGCAAATAAAGCATCAGCCTTCTATCAGAGAAGCCAGTATAGCATTATCTGGATATGATTGCTTCTGGTTTACCTGTCACCAAATAGATGAGTGTGAGATGAAACCAAGCTGTTTTTATCAGGAAGCAAAGAGCCTGTTGGCAGGTTAAAGTGGCAATGGCAGATACTGTAACCCGTAAGTAGCCCTGTCAATGGCCCGCTCCGATGGACATGAGCATATTGATCTCTGACTTTCAGTTAAACGCTCCTTAAGGGGGTCTTTTTCCTCGCCTCTCTCTCTGTACTCTCCATCACATTGCATCCGCAAATCAATGCAGCACTGTAACACACCACAGGCTGTCTATAAAACACCGCAGCAGTTTTCCAGTGTGGAGACAGTGGCAGAACAGCGCTTCGTTTCTCCTCGGCTGAATTATTTGTGTCCTCAACCACTAAATCATATTGATTAAAGCTTGTCACGGATTTGAAATGAGGTCCTGTGGGGTCACTTGCAGCAGAAATGGCAGTTTATTGGATTACAGGCTTAATTTGATTTTGAGTGACGAGCGTGCATTATAATGGCAGCCTCCCTGGAGAGCACTCTTCTTACCTGACTCTTGAACCCTCCTACCACTTCACACAAAAGGACAAAACACGCATGTATAAATACACTTGGCACTACACAAAACCAACATTTCTGAAATGTGAAGCCTCTTATTTCTCTTGTGTGTTTGCGTTTGTGGGGTCTTTTAAACAAAGCTAATGATAATGCACAGGAAAAAAATATATAACTCAGAAATTGATAGTGACTTTCACAAATAATTATTAAATGGCAAGCCACACATTGAATTAAGCGTAGAAAAACTGAAATAGTATTTATTTTATTTTTTTATTTTTTTTGTAAAATACTCCAATAATCTTTGTTTTAATTACAACTTTGAAAATGTTTTTTTACAGTCTAGATCACTTGATCATTGTGCATAAGAGTTAAAATGGTATTTTGGAGGTAAATAAACTCTAAAACCTGATATGTGTGCACTGGATCTAACAAAAAAATGGACTGGATTGAAAACAGATGGATGGGATTAACAAACATACACTGTAAAAAAAATAAATAAAAAATGTTTCTAGAACAATAGCTTTTGGGTTTGTAAGTCCAAGCAATCTTTTTTTTTTTATTAGACCCAGTGTTATTTTTAAAGGGGACATCAGATGCAATATTCACTTTTACATGGTGTTTGCATATAAATGTGATGAAGCAGTGTGTGGACACAACCACCCTACAATGATAAAAATGCATTCTGTCCTTTTTTAATCCATAAAACACCTAAACAGTCTTAATTATCAAGACTGTTTCCGCTGCCGCTTTCACAGCACATATTTTTTTGGCGTGCATGTTAACAAATGAGTGCATTCACACCAGGAGCTGCGCGTGAGCAGCACTGAAGCAATGGTTTCGGCATCGAATCAATATTTGCTGCACTGCACGCTTATGCAAACTTTCAAGACTCTAAAGCTTTCAAGTTTATAACTGACCAACTTCTAAAAACAAATTTATAGTTGTCTGCTGTGATGCTGTACAAACGCTTCCAGTGTGCATACTCTTGTGAGTCTGCAGCTGCAGTGACGATGAAGTAACGCTGACGTGAAGCTGACACGAAGCTCAAGCTAGTGGTGTGAAACAGGCGTCTTCATTTTCTCCCGACATCAGAGCCACTGAAGACGCAGTGAATTAGTTTTGTTTTTGATGGTAACGTGCCACCGAATACACAAAAAAACAGAAGAGAGGGGTAGGGTGAGCAGCAGCTCATTATCATTTAAAGAAACATGCACCGAAACGGGTTGCTGGGAACAGAGCTGTTTTTGACAAGGTAAAAAGGGTGTTGTTTTACATGAACATTGAGGAATTTTTACCAAAGTATGTTGCAGACATTTCATGAAGACCCTACAGAATCATACCAACTTGTGGAAAATGGGCATTCCGATTTCCCCTTTAAATTAATTAATATTCATATTAAATGAATTCCAATTTAAACGCTGGTCCAGAAAACAACTTCAAATTACAGGAAATGACCTCATTAGTACTTGTAAAACACACACACAGACACACACACACACACACACACACACACACACACACACAAACATACAGCATGCAGTTAATCAAAATATTGAAACTAAATTGATATTCAATTGTTTTATCACCATATTAGTGTTTTTAATTGCATGCTATATGTTTATGTGTGTTTATACTAGTAACACACACACACTCATACACATGCAGAATATACAGCTTACACCCAAACAGTGAAACTAAATTGAAATGTATTGTTTTTTTGATCACCGTATTAATTTTTTAACAGATTTGTGACATTACAAACTTTAAAATACTGAAAAATATATGGCATGCATGCAGCCCCTTCCAATCTGTCTTTCTGCTGCAGATGTAGCTAGCACAGGTGTCTAATGGCATGGTATAGATCCAGGTATGCAAAAAAGGAAAATAAATAAAGAATAGGAGTAGAAGAAATCATTTGAAGAAGAGCAGCACAGCTTCAGTTTATTATTCCAGCCTAAAATCTCATTAAGTGTGACATTGAGGATTAGCTAAGAGGGAAAAGAGTAGAGAGAGAAGTCTCCCACAAATAGCTGTGAGGAGCGACGCGCTGGCTTTTGTTTGCCATCATTAAATCTGCGCTGAAGTGGCCCCGAATCACTGATCAGAGGAGGCCCCCCGAATATGACAGCAGGACAGGTGCCCTCTCTTCCTCTCACTCTCTTCTCACATGCTCACTTTTCCTCTCTGTGTCTTGCTGCGTCTGTGTTCTTCTCTCTCGCCTTCTCGGCTCTTAATTGGGGTGATTGGGTGGCGGGGCCATCTGCGATGCTGACAAAGCGAAGCCTGCTTTGATTTATGGAGCCTCAGGCCACATTAGTCTCAAGATTTCCACAGTAAATATCAGCGCTCAGCAGTGGAGTTAGCTCAACAAAATCTGCATTGCTCAGGAACAGAACTGTAGGTTCCTCCTTGGGAATAGTATTGAGATGATGTTAGACTTTTGGGGTACTGTTTCAAAGGAACAATGTTTTGTAGCATTTTGCAGAGTGTGGTTCATGGGTGCTCAATTCTACTGAGTGTCTGTCTTAAGCTGTGAGATCAAAGTCAGCTGACAGGGACTAATTTAAGTCCATTTCACACTTTAAAGAGACCTTTTAAGGGGTCATAACATGACAAATCACATTTGCTTTGATCTATTGACATTAGAGGTCTTTGTACCACTAAAACATCCAACTTAAAACGTCCTTCTCATTATAAACAAAAAATGTAACCAATCTCCAAAAACAGCTAATTTTGATATTGTGGTCAGTGGAGTCGCTAAGGATTCTGGGCCCATTGCACAGATTTTGCTATGGGGCCCCTCAAACGAGGGGAGGGTGTGTTGGCTGACAATCTCAGTCGGGCCCCCCAGTGGACATAGTGTGGGCCCCTCTCAGCCTCTGGGCCCTATGCACTCTGTCCCCCTTTTCCCCCTGGTTGTGACGACCCTGATTGTGGGATGTCACACAGACAAATACATTTAAGACATTTTGCCTCCAGAGCAAGACATGAACGAATAATTATAAATAATCACACCATAGGCCCTGCCCACTAGGGGTTCAGTCGCTTGACGGCTGACACTTGCCTACACTGGATGCGAGTGTCACATCGTCAAAAGCAAATAGAAGCCATTACAGTGGATACAGATGCATACAGTCTACATAGTCCATGCGCTTGAGATACTCCCGACAACAGGACAAATGGAAGAGTCAAAGAGTGTTTGCTTTGACGCGTCCAGTTTAAACAGCTTGTTTGCAGCTCTGTACAGACTTAAAAATGACCTCTGCACCAGAAATAAGTGAATGGTTTCTTTTTAATGGCATCCCAGATCACGTTGGATAATTATTTGTTTGTTCATACATTTAACTGCTGATTGTTTTGTACATGAGGCGCAGTGCGATGGAGAGTTTGTAAAGAAACTTTGGCTGAAAGATGGAACAGCTAACTGTATTGGATCTGAAAGCAGCTACATGCTTTATCTGTAAATGATAGTTTTATATGGATAATGTTTTCAAATCCCTTATGTGCAGTAGCGAGTGGCCGTTGATACTGTTTCCTTATGCAGTTTTCTCCCAAAAAAAAAAACTTTATTAAAACCCCTTAACTGTCACCGTCCCACCTGTGGGACGCTTGGCACTCTTTTTTTTGTTGTCCTTTTTCTCTATCAAATCTTTTAGTAATCATCATAAATCATATATCATTTGAAAGCATAGAATGTGAAAACCATTTTGAAATCGGACATTGCGTTACCATGGAAATGGTACTTTAAAATCGTTTGGCGGTGTCAAGTGTCATATTACAAAATGCATTAAGCTCTTTTACAATCAAAATTTTTATAATCTTGACAAAAAACATATCATTGGAAAGGTCTGAGTCTCAGGATTCCATATGTGGTGGTTATTTGAGAAGTATTATAGAAGTAATATTGACAGAGAAATCTAGACATTTGTGACAGAAAAATGCATTATGCATTAAAAATGTAATGGAGTTTGGATGGCACC